GGGGAGGGGACGCCACAAGAACATGCTAAAAGAAAAAATATGAACCCTTCCAACCCATAAAGGATCTGGAAAAATAAAAGACAAAAAAAAGAAGGAAAGGAGAATAAATAATTACTCCGTATAGTATATGTTAATTTTGAAATATTAATTGGATTACCTTAGGAATAGAAAAGGTTGAAGAGGTGGAAGTTTCTTGTTCAATAGCTCTGTACTCATTCATCTTCCACTTAGTTTTTCTCCCAGTTGGAGCTTTCCCTTTGTAAAATACCATACTTTTCTTCACCCCAATCACTTTACTCTCTGAAGAGTAAACATAAGTAGGAGAACCAGTAGCTTTCCAATAACCAGAAGTAGTAGTCCTACAAGGTCTTCCTCCTCTAGCTTCTCTTTCTTGCATCGGCACAAAGAAAAACCATTGCTCTGTATCTCCCATGCATAACTCCCCAGGCAAGTCTGCATATAAAATAAGAATTTAAGTTATATACATGTACAATATAAATAATTAATTATATAATCAGGTCTCAGGTATCTATTTAATCTATAATAAAGGGTAATTGGCCTGCTATGACAGGTTATATTAACATTAATGGTGTAAACATTCATTATACCGGAAACACATATAACTTAAATCCATAACTTCTGGAGTTTAAGTCTACACGCGAATAGTATAAAAAATATTAACACAATCAGATCACTTATGAGATAATTACAAGCAATAATTGGTACGATGAAAATGATAAACCTACTGTAACATGTTATACTATGCTTAACAATAAAACACTATCTAGAAAGTCCACATATAGTGAAAACTTTTTGTTGATGTTGGAAAAAGAATAAGTCCCATACTACTATTAACGTAGGGATCGAAAATGGAATGAAAGGTATGATCCACGCATATTTCATATGTCTGTTTCATAAAAAAGTTTTGAAAGGAAAAATAAGAAGAAGAAGAAGAAGAAAAGAAGAAGATGATGAGATGTGTACTTGGTAGATGCCAAGGGTCAAGATTATAAATGGTAACAACTGGGATTACTCTATCAAGCTCTGGCCTCTTTCCTTCTAACTTGTTGTGCAAATAGAAAGATATTAACTCTTCTTCAGTTGGGTAGAATCGAAAACCTGGTGAAATTTCCACCATTGTTGTCTTCTAATTCTACTTCTTTCTCTTTTTCTTGTTTACTTTTTCTTTTTCCGTTTGTTATATATTTATAGGGTTGTCACCAGGAAATGGGACAAGGATTTTGCCGTGTAAAAGGAGAAAATTTGTAGAGTTATATATAGTGGAATGTGGTTTGCTTTTAAGTTTCCACACGGTTTTAGTTGTCAGCAATTTTTATGCTTATTTATACTACCTTTTTATCCTTTTAAATATCATTTAATTAATTTCTTATTTTGAACCAGTCAGCCCTTTCTTTTTCTTTCTTTTTTCCAGTGCGGTCATAATCAAGTCCTTTTGTTACGTAAAGTTAAGGGTGGCGTGGACCGGTCCAGGTCCGGGACCGCGGGCCAGGACCGTTTGGCCCGATTTTAGTGGGTTTGGGCAGGTCTTGTGGACTGGTCCTATGATTTGGACGCGTCAGGCCCGGGACCATTTAGCCCGCCAGATACCGGGACCCGACCGATCCCTTAGCGGGCCAAACGGTCCCAACGGCTATTTAAAATATAGTTGTTGGGCTGTCAAAAATAGCCGTTGGCTATTTATAAAATAGCCATTTAACCTCCCCAATTTTGTTTTAATCCCAAACTTTTTATAATTACACTTTTTCCCTATTTTCAACTATAAATACCCCATCATTATTTTATTTTTTCTTACAAAATCATCAAATCTCTCTCTAATTTACTTCTATAATTGCTACTATTGCTTACTTTATTGTTACAATTGTGAAGTTGGTGAATTGAAGTTTTCAACCATAACCAATTTCCAACAAGTTGTTCGTCAATTCGGTAAACTCGTTCCAACTCTTAAGTTTTAATATTA